ATATATGCAATAAGCGAGAAATAGCATGTTGTAAACCTTCTCAATCCAAAACAACTCTGTGGTTGTTCATCACAACAACATCTCTAGCTTTGTATTGTGTTATTAATGATGAGTTGAGCTCTGTCCTGATGATCTGAGTTTACAATGAGAATTTTTGAAGATTTTGAATGTTTTAAATGCGTGATTTCATCCTACTTCATATCCACTTACTATCATCTTGAGATGACAAGCTGACACCAGTATTTATCTTCAAGCAAACGTTAATTCTTGGTCAATCCATGAGAACAAACAGTGCAACATGTAAATGTATTGCATAGTCCATATCCACGTAAAACTCCACGTAATGTGCTATGCTAACTCAGCACATTGTACTGCTTAACACTAAAAGCAAAACGCACCACTGCAAAATGTTCAGTAGATTCAATGGTGGCACGTTGGCGCACATAGGCCATTATAATTTCTTCAATGCACATCAAGTTTGCATGAAGATAAATCGATATCACACTTGCTCCTGGAAGACAGAATAATGTAGAGCACCTCTGTCCCGTATATTACTTGGCCCTGAGCCTCTTGGTACACGGGACACAGGTGCACTACTATATATTATTCTATGTTTCACTTGCACTCATGTGATATACTAGTACAGTGCATGCACATACATGTGGCTGTGCCCGAGCATGTATACGCGAATGCGTGTGGTGACTATTGGCACATAACACATGCAAATGGCATGCACATAAACACAGACCATGAGCTAGGTTGTCAGAAACTGGGGTGCACACACCACATATATGCAGCGGACAGGTTATTCAACCTACGCCTTGGTCAAGGCTAAACTTTCCTCCATTTGTCTAAATATCCATTTATATTCTTCTTCTCATCCTAACTTCAAATTTGAAAGGATCTTTTTAACCATCACTTTTAGAGGAATTTTAACAATAAATTTTACTTGGACTCAGTTATTAGCCTACCTAAAAAATTGTCAGACTCGATGCTGAAGAGTACAATTTTTTTTATCAAAGTACTCAGTCTCTTGTAGTTATGACTGATTATTAAGTTGCAGACTTCAGATGTATACACTTTTTCTACCTTAGTTGGGTTTGATATGAATAGCTGTTACGTTTAAAAATTAGCACATTGTCATGTTAATTTTGGACCATCCATACTGTCTTTGAAAATTGTGAGGAAAAGTTAGACAAAATGTTTATTTTGTTCTTTACTTTCACCACTCCAGGAGATGCTTGAGTAATCAGCACAGTCAGCAGGAAAGCTTGAGGGAAAATTGTGGAGGAGTGTAGCCGTGAGTCTTCCTTTTAGTTGTCAGATATGCAACAGTACTAACGTTTTCTTCATGTGTATGGCTATAGCTGTAACAACCACTAGGAATCATTTAATTATGAAGGTACATGTATATTAGTTATCACTGGTTGGGAAGGTTGATCTGATATTTGTTTCAAATAAATAGTTAAATTTTAATTAAATTCAACATTGCTAATTCAGTGTTGTACGTAGGTTTTTGATGGGGGGAACAGGGATTCTTTATGTCCACATTTTTTCAGCAGTGAAAGAATCTTTTATATAACAGGTTTTGCCCTTACCCAACGTATATTAATAAGCACTGTATGCTCAGTGCTTGTCCGAGAGCTTGCGAAAAAAAAAACAAGCACAAGCACTGAGCATACAGTGCTTATTAATATACGTTGGGTAAGGGCAAAAACTGTTATATAAAATTAACATCTCCCCAACGCAAAAAAATACATCTTGAAAATAGTTCGCGGTNAAATATGCAATAAGCGAGAAATAGCATGTTGTAAACCTTCTCAATCCAAAACAACTCTGTGGTTGTTCATCACAACAACATCTCTAGCTTTGTATTGTGTTATTAATGATGAGTTGAGCTCTGTCCTGATGATCTGAGTTTACAATGAGAATTTTTGAAGATTTTTGAAGGTTTTAAATGCTTGATTTCATCCTACTTCATATCCACTTACTATCATCTTGTGATGACAAGCTGACACCAGTATTTATCTTCAAGCAAACGTTAATTCTTGGTCAATCCATGAGAACAAACAGTGCAACATGTAAATGTATTGCATAGTCCATATCCACATAAAACTCCACGTAATGTGCTATGCTAACTCAGCACATTGTACTGTTTAACACTAAAAGCAAAACGCACCACTGTAAAATGTTCAGTAAATTCAATGGTGGCACGTTGGCGCACATAGGCCACTATAATTTCTTCAATGCACGTCAAGTTTGCATGAAGATAAATCGATATCACACTTGCTCCTGGAAGACAGAATAATGTAGAGCACCTCTGTCCCGTATATTACTTGGCCCTGAGCCTCTTGGTACACGGGACACAGGTGTACTAATGTATATTATGCTGTGTTTCACTTGCACTCATGTGATAACTAATAATGTACAGTACCTAGTACAGTGCATGCACATACATGTGGCTGTGCCCGAGCATGTATACACAAATGCGTGTGGTGACTATCGGCACATAACACATGCAAATGGCATGCACATAAACACAGACCATGAGCTAGGTTGTCAGAAACTGGGGTGCAAGCACCACATATATGCAGGGGACAGGTTATTCAACCAACGCCTTGGTCAAGGCTAAACTTTCCTCTGTTTGTCTAAATGTCCATTTATATTCTTCTTCTCATCCTAACTTCAGATTTGAAAAGACCTTTTTAACCATCACTTTTAGAGGAATTTTAACAATAAATTTTGCTTGGATTCAGTCAGCTAACCTAAAAAATTGTCAGACTCGATGCTGAAGAGTACAGTTGTTTTTAATTAAAGTACTCAACCTCTTGTAGTTATGACTGATTATTAAGTTGCAGACTTCAGATGTACACACATTTTCTACCTTAGTTGGGTTTGACATGAATAGCTGTTACGTTTAAAAATTAGCACATTGTCATGTTAATTTTGGACCATCCATACTGTCTTTGAAAATTGTGAAGAAAAGTGAGACAAAATGTTTATTTTGTTCTTTACTTTCACCACTCCAGGAGATGCTTGAGTAATCAGCACAGTCAGCAGGAAAGCTTGAGGGAAAATTGTGGAGGAGTGTAGCCGTGAGTCTTCCTTTTAGTTGTCAGATCATGCAACAGTACTAATGTTTTCTTCATGTATATGGCTATAGCTGTAAAAAGCACCAGGAATCATTTAATTATGAAGCTATATTAATTATCACTGGTTGGGAAGGTTGATATGATATTTGTTTCAAATAAATAGTTAAATTTTAATTAAATTCAACATTGCTAATACAGTGTTGTACCCAGGTTTTTGATGGGGGGAACAGGGATTCTTTATGTCCACATTTTTTCAACAGTGAAAGAATCCTAACCCCCAAAAAGAAAGCTTGTAGTATCATTTCTAAGTGTTGACTTAAAAGCCTAAGACAAATTCCTCCTGCTCTTCCCATGTGGGATACATCACTGGCTAGAATTGTAAATACCACTTGCTATAAAGGAATTAAAAGGTTCTGTTAATGCTCCTTTGTAAACATTGTAACATTCTCCATCAGATTCTCAACAAAAAATAATGACAGAGTCAAGAGAAGACAGATCAAGTATGGTTTGGGGACAATTTTGTCAATAGAAGCACACTTTATAGTAGTTAATATGGTGGCAAAATGGATAATAATCGTTCATTCAATGACTTGGTGACTGTTTAATAGAAAAGTGTTCTTCAGCATTTTCAAATCGAATGCATGATTTCAAAACTTTACATCAGTCATTTGATGTTATTTTGATGTATGATGTAATTTAAAAATATGTTCAATGCTTGATTTGAAAGAATGGACAAATTGCAGAGCCAGGCTCTTTTGAGATTTAAAAATTAATGAAGATTTGAAGATGAGAAGATCCCTAGATGTGTTCCTTGCTCTAGAAAAACTGAACATCTTTTATAAAACAAAATCAAATTGTATCATCAGAGTTTCAATTTTGTTCACACATCTTTTGCTAGCTTTTTAGTTTTATTGTTTTTCATGAGTGTTCCAGAATAAGAATCGTAGTTTAGTTTTGCCATGATTTAGAATTGCTATGCAACATTGGGATTGAACAAATGAAGAAAGTTGCATATTGCTAGGGCAGTCGACCTGCAAAATGTGCTTATATAATGTTGATAATTGATTGCATGATTCACATGTAATTTTGTTAGAATACAAAATCACCCAGTTACTTTGTAAGTTTAAAATTGGTTCTTTTAATTTGAAAAGATCTGTGGTACGTGCTGGACCTTTCCAATGGTTCTTTTTTGTCTGCTTTACTTCCAAGAAGGCTTTTCTTATTCCATAGTGAGTCAGAGATATAAGGAGAATCAGTTGCCCTACAGATCCTTGCATTTTCTAGTCTGTGCCAATGGAAGAACCTTACAGTTCAAACATTCTTCTGAACTATAAAACGTAGTTGTAACTCTTGTTTGCACTGTTGTGTCTTGTACGTAATGTAATTACTCTTATGAGGGAAGCCATATTGCTGATTGTTCAACTTCATACTTGTGTTCAACTTCATGTTATAAGCTATTACCTTCAGGCAAACTTGAATTCTAAATTCTGATTGGTCCATCTGTGTCCCGTATAGAGCTACATGCAACCTCAACTGTGTGCAGAATACGAAAATGATGCTGACTGGCTATTCAGGATTAACTGCACACATATTTCAAAAGCTACATGCTTGCACCAACGTATTCTCGTACACATATCTCTCTCTCTCTTGGAGGTCCGACGATGACATCTGTCTATGTGTGTCTCATTTGCTTGTCTATGTTTGTTTCATTTGTGGACTCGCATGTGGCTATGGAGTCCCAATTGTGATCTACGTGGACGTCCGCAGTGAGGGCAGGGAAACTTCAAGGTTCTTTAGGTACAGCAGCAGTTGCTGCCTTCATTCTCTCCAGCCAGCCAGACCGATTCAAAGCACTAGCCTCTAGCTGTTTAGGTGGGATGCCAGCATGGATGATGTTGGTCTCCACACAATCTTTGAAACGATTTTGAGGTCCTTGCTTTCTTTTGCCTATTCGCCACAGAGGAGTTGGTTAGGGATTCAGGAGTCATCCATTCAGATGACATGCCCTGTCCAGTGGAGTTGTGCTTTCAGGATTATGGCCTCTATGCTTGTTGTCTCTGTCCTATCAAGCAACTCCAGGTTTGCGATTTTTTCATGTTACTGAATGGATGCCAAGGATTGCTCCAAGGCTGCGTGAATATGGAAGCATTCAAACAGCTTGATATGTCTTCTGTACGAGGTCGGGGTCTCATAGAGAAGGCTGGTGAGGACAACTGTCTTGTACACTTTCAGCTTAGTGGACTGCCCATTGTTGTGCTGGGTCAACATGCGGGATCACAGTCAGCCAAGAGCTTGGCTTGATCTCCTTGTCAAGGGAACCCTTATTGGAGATGACACTGCCAAGGTATGTGAAGTCCTCGACGGTCTTCATTTTTTTTCTTTCAATGGAGATAGAGAGGCGTACACCAGAAAATGACAGGCGTTCTAAAACAAAACCACTGAAACATTCTGAAATTTGTCCACAGTCGCCTGAAGGGCAGACTCCTTGCATCAACAAATAGGGCCTCTAGGATGATCCTTCCAGTTGCCTTTGTCTTGGCGCTCAGGCATTGGAGGTTAGAGAGTGACCCATCCATTCTGTTCTGGAGGTACACATCAGCCTTGATGTCTCTTGACAGTGTGGCCGAGGACGCAGATGAAGAAGAGGTTGAAAAGCACAGGGGCCAAGACACAACCTGGTTTCACTCAGTTGGAGATTTTTAATGTCTCAGATGCTTCTCCGCCAGAGAGTTCTAGTCCAGACATATTGTCATAACACATGCAGATTAGGTTGACAAATTTCCCTGGACAGCCAAGATTCCCTAGAATTGTCCATAAGGCCTCTCTGTTGACAATATCAAAAGCCTTGGTCAGGTTGATAAAGATAGCATGTAAATCTAAGTTCTGTTCTTTGCACTTTTCTTGCACCTGACAAATTGCAAAGATCATTTCAATAGGACTGCGGCCAGGGCAGAAATCACTCTGTGCAGGTTCTTCGCTGGTTGAGGATGATGAGTGCCAGGATCTTTCCAGCAATAGACAAGGTATGTGCCTCAGTAGTTGGAACCGTCAGATTTACTGCTGGTCTGACTTATTTTTTTTACCTCTTGCAGGGTAGGAGAGGAATCAAGGCTGCCTATGGTGGGTCTCTGAGGGATCTGGTTTAAAGCGTCTGTGCTGACAATGGATGGCCTATTGAGGAGGGTGCTAAAGTATTCCCTCCATCTTTCATTGATGGCGCTCTTCTCTTTCAGGAGTGTATTGTCGGCTTGCATGATGGGGTAGTGCTACATTTGGATGGTCCGAAAACTGCCTTGATACAGCTACAGAACATCTTAGACTTCTTAAGCGCAGCCTGGGCTTGCCTCTGGAGCTGCTTGAAGTGATCCCTTTCGGCTTTTTGTTTGTCTTCCAGGAGCTGGAAAATGGTTTCGTCATTCTCATTGAACCAGTCCTTGTGGACTCTCTTCTTTTCTCCAGGTGTCAATTGGGTTGTCTCCTTCATCAGTATCCTAAACCGGTCCCATTGTTGTGTTGCCAGTCAGAGGTCCATGGGAGGTCAGC